AGATAACTTGGGCATGCCTTACTATCAAAAAGCAGGGTTTTTAAATAAAATTGAACACTCAAGATACTACAAATCCATTGAGGTCAGATATAATTATTTTTTCTATTATGCATGAGTAAGAGAGATTAAACATGTGCTCTTGACTAAAAAAGACAAGGAAACTGGGGTGTGTGGAAGAGGGGAATACAGAGATATACAATACTTTGTTTCAACATATAAATCACTAAAATTCAAGGAATGAGCCACCGAGTACAGGAACATCCTAGTGACTGTTATGTGACTCTAGGTTGGCCCTTCAGTTTTTGTTAGAGAATATTAACATTGTCCTTTGCACCACTGACCATCAACGAATGTGTATCTGACCATAACTGCAACATTATTTGCACTCCAGGTTCTTTCTGGAAATATAATTTTGCACATGCTGCTGCCGAATTCACAATGACAGCTCACTGACTAGAAATAAAATTTAATAAGAGTTGCCCCCAAAATATGCTATTCATTTCTATCAGTGATTTTTCACTTTTTAAAGGCAAAAATCTCTTTCTTCAAAATAAATCCTATTCAGAATCCCAATTTTTAAATAGATAAAACAAGGCCATACTGGTTGAAATGGGAGTAGAGGCTCACAGCCCCTTTTACATCCATCACTACCAGCTCTCAGACTCCAGAAAAACCTCTCTGCAACCCTAGAGCTCTGCAGGGAGTGGTCTGAATCCATTGCTCAGATATTCTTAATTGTATTGCTAGATCAAACCAAAGCATCAGAGAGATATGCATTTGAACAGTGATTTGGGCCTTTACAGAATTAATCGTCTGAAAGTACTTGAATCAAATGTATTCAAATTGCATTGAGGTACCTTATTTTTAAATTGTTAGATTTACTTAAAAGGTAACCAAAAGACCAAGAGTCATGTTTAGTACACTGGCGAAAAGTGTAGACTTTGGAGCTAGACTGCCCGGATTTCAAATCCCAGTTCTACCATTTATTAACTGCATGATCTCATGCAAGTTACTTCACTTCTTTGTGCCTTTCCCTCCTCATCTGTAAAAAATAGATGAGGACAATAATAATAGCCACCTCAGAGAACGCTGTGAGGAATAAAAGAATTCAAGTGCATAAAGCAATTAGAAGAATGGTATTTTTGAAGAGCCATGGATAATTCTTGTTTTCAGCCCTCAGTATTAAGAAAATTTATCTTTCACACTGAACTGTATATTTTTATTATGAAAGCATTGTGATTCGTATAAATGACAATGACTTCTTCTTTATTATGGCAAAATAAAAGGATATGTCTCCACTTCTCCCTCCAGGGCCCATGGGAGGCAAAATGAGCCAACCTCCCACTGAAACCATACAAAGCCTCAGAATATTTTACAAGTAATCCAGGTAACTACCGCTAAGTCAAAGCTGGCAGGTAAGTAAAATCTATTACGCTCCCTGGGCTGCAAGTACTCTTTCCATTAAACCAGCCTACATTCCAGGTGGAAGGAACAGAAACACCAAAGAAATGAATACAGGGCATGTTATGAAATAGCAAATATAAGAAGCCAGCATAAGTTTTTATTTATCAAAAATTAATATTGAGTTATTGTGTGCCAGGTAGTTTAAAATATTACCTATTAATATTAAATAATATAAACCTCATAATAACTCTTTGAGATAGATACTATTATCCCTATTTTACAGATAAGAAAACTGAGGCAGAGAGAGAAGTTAATAAACTTATTCAAGATCACTCAGCTAGTAGATGGTAACACAGGCACTCCAGCTGCAGAGAATAATTTTAGCCACCCTGCAATGGGGCCTGTCTTTGGGAGTAAGGAAGAGAGGATGTCAGAGCTGGGCTTTAAGAGGATTAACATGCTAGCAGGAAGTAGGATGGACAGGGGAGGTGAACAGTAATAATCACTATCATGTGTTGAATACTTACTAAGTGCTAGGCACTCTACTGAGTATTTTACATACATTCTGCCATTTAATTCTCACAACTCTTTGAGGCCAATACAATTGTGATCCCCATTGTACCCCATGTATTCCCAGTTACCCCAGATAAGGTAACTAAGGGTCAAGGAGGTTAAACAATGACACATAGGTAGTAAGTGGCAGACTAGGACTCAAACTCAGTTCTGCCTGACTTCAAACCCACGTTCTTAACTGCTCACAAAATATGACTATATGTGACATATGTGAAAAATAGAAATGAAGCAGGAAAACTTATGTAAGACATATTGCAAAAAAGGAATCCATAGAGTTTAGCAACTGTTTCAACGTATCAATGAAAGGGGAGGAGTCAAAGATGATTAAGTTTGAAGTGTGAGTAACTTGGAGAACAGTGACACTGCTCAAAGAGGTAGAGAAGTCAGGAAGAGCTAGCCTCTGGAGAGCCCGAGGAGTTCATACTTAGACACCACTCATTCCAGACCAGGAAAACAGTGTGTGGAGCACAGCATTATCATTTTCACATTAGTAGATGCTACTCATCCATCAGATTTTCCAAATCTCATGCAGAGGCTGGACTGGAACTCCTAGTTCTTGCCTGTCTGAATGGATTTTTAGGACCTCCTTACTATTTGAATAATGAGCATGATTTTAAAAATGAAATCAGAAGGAAAAACTAAAGAAAGGTGTTAGTTTCTTAAAAACAGGGTGGTCTTTTTCTCCAGGAGTTTCTGGTCTGTGTTTAATCCTAAAGCAACCAACACACACTTCTGCACAACAGCAACCAATGTTTTGGCATAAGATATGCAGGGAATATCAAAATAGGCAATGCCATCTTAGCAGAAATAGCAGTTACACTTTGTCATGAAAACTTATGTTTCTTCTACACCCATCACCACCACCACCAGCACCACCATCAACAAAAGATAATGGGGGGAATTTTTCTGAGAAAAAATTCATGATTAATAAAAATCTCAGGTTTCTGCTATTAATTAGTTGTGTGACTTAGGCAAGTAACTTGACTTTTCTGTGCTCACGTAGTTCCCTCCTCTATAAACTAAGTCTGTTGTCTAGATTCAATTTAGCTTAGACAACTAACGTTTACTGGACTGATGCTAGGGTTCTTTCCAACACTTCATATTACATTATTCAAAAAGGTAGCAAGGAGGGACAAAAGGTCTTGAGCCGAAATAGAACATTAGAGCTGAAAGTGCTGCTGCAGTTCATTTCATGCAATTCTCTTAGTTTATAAACCAAGGAAATGAGGCACAGGGTCTTGATTCATTCTGGGTAAAGAGCTGGTTAGCAACAAAGTCCAGTCTAGAACTGAGATCCTGATTCTCAATCTTGTGTTTTTCCCACTACACCACAAGGTCTTTTCTAATCGGCTGGTTTAGAAATGTTTGCCTTGGATGAACTCAGAGTGAATTACAAGAAAAGAAAAAAAAAAACACACAGCTTCGCTGACCTAAGACAGATTTATGTGTTGGACTTAAAGTTCTTATAAAATGAAATACCGTAACAGTCCAACTGTGACATAAAAGTATTAGACTATGTTATGTGCTTTTTATAGTGCAGTATAATGGCTAAAACCTCAGACAGAACTGCTCTCGCTGCTGCAGGCACAGCATAACCTGTGAGGTCACTCTGAAGTCAGGCTCCTGAGACTACAAAAGGGAGGTGATGGTGCCCTCTTAGCTGGGGAGTGCTCTCGGCCAAGTCTGTATTTGGTTCCCACTATGACTTTGCTGCTAGAGGAGCAAAGAATAAAAAAAGATATTCTGAGCTAGGTAGACAGGAAAGAAGTGGGTGACAGAGGGTAACAGCCAAGTCCTCTACCAACATTCCAGGTCCGCATCTTCAATTCCCCCTGTCTTTACTGCTGGCCCTAGGAAGGATACAGAAATAGAGGAACAGCAAATACAAAATTCAAAACCAGAAACTAGTGAGAGTTGGCTTGGCCCTGCCTAAGGAGCTGTGTGCAGAAGCGCACACCGCCCATCCCAAAGGCTGGCTCTGCTCACAACCTCTGTGCTGAGCTGTGACGTTTAATACAACCATTTGATGGATACTTTGGAATTCTTTAGAGATAGGCACTACATGAACACAGAAAAGACTAGTAAATAAAACTAATTCATTGTTTTTATAGATCAGAGTCTTTTTACCTTCTAAGCAAGAGTGAAAATGAAAAGATGAAATTAACCACATGCCTCGTCAGAGGCAAAAACAATCTGGATCATAAAATAGCTGCCCACTATGAACATAAAGGAGCATATGTCCTCTGACAGTTGGGTGCTTCAAGTCTTCCTTGGGGTCCTTTTCTGAATAATGGGCTTTACGATGTTCACAATTCCAGGTCCAATATACTTAGTATATCTCTTACGCTAAAATAAATTTCTTTTTTAAACAATCACACTAACATCCATTCATTCATTTATTCATTCATCAACAAGTATTTATTGAGTGCCTCCTATGTGCCAGGCATTGTACTGAGTGCTAGGGATACAGCAGTGAACGAAACAGACTCGTGCTCATGAGCTTACATTCTGGTTGAAATCTCTCTCTCTTTATTTTCAAAGTGCTCAATAATAGATGTTTGTTGAAATGCATGAATGACAAACAATATTTGGGGTAATCTGTGAGAATCAGATGTATTATAGCATAAAGATGGGCTGTGAGCCATATAAAACCTAAAGTAAAATGTTTATATTTTATAAATCAATCCTTGAATTTCATCTCCATTTCCCTTCAGCTCTCCTTTTTCTTTTTGGCTAGACTGCTACAAAATAAAATAGAGGTAATTCCTAGGAAGTGTTTCTCCCAACGCACTGAGCATAAAACATCAACAAAGGAAAAAGAGGGTCTTATAAAGAGGAAAGAAGGGAGAGCCTGCTAACGATCACCCTCATTCAGTGAAGTCCTACATTTAGAGACCTCATGCTTCTATGCTGAGCATCAAATTTTTAAAAACCCAATGAAGTGGCATCTCCAAAACAACACTAAAATAAGTAAAAATCTGGCTGAAAACTTACTTCAAGGAGATTCAAAGATGACCTTCTACAGCCTGGTCTTTGGGGTTCCATGTTGGTTTGAGTTCATCTGAAGCCAGCAGATTACTGCTGACTCCTAGTCAGTGGCAACTTCATTTTCATAGTGTCCTGGGTGGTGCAACCTGTGGAGGGATAGGCCAGACAAACCCAGGTGTTTCATAATGCACTCAGGCAGAGAGCATGTCCTTTGCCTCTGGGAAGTAAAGTTATGAGGCTAAAAAGTTCTGAGAGAAATTACCTCTATTATTAAGGAATGACAACAAATATGGAAATACAGACATCAAAGCCTGGGTAATTATTAAAACAAATCTCCAAAAGAAGAAATGCCATCCTTGGATGTAACTGCCTCTTACCTTCCCCTTCTAAGCTGACTGGATGAAAGAAAAAAGAGATTTATTATTAAATCAGGAAATAGAAAAAAATGAAATACTAGAAAAACACAAGCACATAACATTTGCTAGCATAAATAATGGTACCTTCATCTCAGTGTAGCCTCTCCGTAGAAGAAAAACCTATAATAAAAAGAATGAACTAGGCTTTCTTTGCCATCACTCTTGAGCAAAGTACCATTTGTATTACTATCAGCTCCATTTATTTCCAAGAAAACAGCTGAAGCCAAACAAAAATTTTCAAATAACACCAAGGATATGCAGGTAAAAACAAATCATAAAAAACAAAACATAACCATGAGCAAGAAAGAAAACGACCTTATGAGGTCTAGAGTACAAGCTACCTCCATGCCGAGGATAATGTAAGAGGTGGGTTCAAATCTTGATTCCCTTCTTGGGTCATTCTCTCAGACAGTCCCTCGCAAGAAGGATAACTTTACTACTAGTAATGATAAAGCAGTTAGAAGCAGTTCTTGTTTGATTAGAGGAACCCAAGTAATGATGAGCAATAGCTCTAAGACATATATTGAAAGAACATGTTCAAAACCATTGTGACTTTTGTGAAATGTCCTGTATCAGAAAGGTTTGGGGAGGGGGAGATGGATGGTGGTGGGGGTGCAGATGTAAAAGGAGGAGAGGAGGATAAGTGACACTTTTTTAGTATTTTTGTTGACTAATTTTAGTCTTTTGTTTTTGAATACTTACAAAATATTTTAAGAGTATTGGTTCCTCCTCTTTCAAATTTTCATTCTTCTCTCCAGCTTCCATTACTGGCTTTTTCTCCTTTTGGTGCTTTTTCTCTTCCTCTTTGCCTCCACCTTCTCTGTTCTGCAAAGCTCCAAGTTTCTGTGGAAAAGAAAGGAATGACATGAGAAGGGAGAATGAGAGTGTAATGAAGATTAGAGGAGGAAACATTTATCCCCCTTGAGGGTTCTAGGAGAATGTACAATCTGGTGAAAATTATCACAGAATGTGGCAGAGATGGAGATTTAGGAAAGAAAGTCCATCATATAAGTTCCAGTCATGAAACATGTTAAAACACTCACAGTCATTTATTGCACCTCCATACATTCCACCATCTGAATTTGATATTACATAACTACATATAGGAAGCTTTAAATGACAGAGGTCAAAAGGTGTGCATGAATAAGACAACTAAGGACAACACCTTGCCAGTGACCCAAAAGCCAGAGTCTAAGATGGACAGACTGTGTCCCAAGCGTTCTGATGGGAAGTGTGGCTTCCGAGAGCTCTTTCAGATGACTTGGAAAATGTAGGAAGATTGTTCAGCTTTGGACACAAGCATAACCATTGCTGGCATTACAGTGACTAAAAACAGCCACTATGTATCCAGGAAAACAACCCAATACAACCAGTAATAAATGTTCACTCTCCATCCATGAGTAAAATATAAAATGAAACAAAATATACAAACAAAAAATACAATAAAGAACGATAATAAAGATATCTTGAAAAGTATCGTTATTTTTATTATTAAGCTACTGGAGTATTTTGAAGTGCTAACTTCTTTTCTTTTCCTCCTTTGTGTCTTTTCATTTTTCTTCTGCTTCCAACCTACTTCCCAATTCAAGCACATAGATAATTACGTGTTTATTGCCTCTGAGTAGCTTTGGGGAAGGTGGAAAGTAGAAGAGGCCTACAAATCTTTTTCAGTACTCTTCCAGGGCCTTAAGAGAACATAGTGGTTTTGTGAAAGGGATGAATGTTTCTATGCTAAACATAGAAAGAGTGTCTTGGCCAGAAATATAAAGGGACGAAGACTTTCATAAGTAGAGATTCCACTGTTCTAGGTTGGTGGCTGTGGGGAGAAGAGAATGAGAGAGAAGGAGGTTTGCAGATTCTGAGAGTAAAGCAAACCTGAGCCCACTTCTTGCCAGCATACTAGTGCAGCATCAAGACCCAGAGAGAAAAGAGCTGCCTGCTGTGTCTAGGCTGGTAGGAGTACAACAACCTAAGCACAAAATTTCCAGCTAATTTCAGCAGGTAAAGGTAAGCAGATCATCCCCACAGGTGATGTACAAATTAAGGTTCTTAGCTTGGAAGGAAATTGCACCTAGTTTGAGCAAAAAAGAACGCATTACTTCAAGCAAAAATGGAATTCATTGGAAGGTTATGGGGAAGTTCAAGGAATCAAAAGCAATCTGGGAAGACCTAGCTTCAGAAAGGGGAAAACTAAGGTAACTTGGATGACCTGGGTAAAAGGAAGTACGGGCTTCCTTCAGGGTGCTGACACCAAGTGTATCAGCTATAATCTTTTCCCATTCTTGAGTCACTCCTCAGAAAATTTCAGTTCCTGGAAGAGGTGGAGGAAACTTGCTTAGATCCCTTGCTCAACTTTCAGCTAGGGAAGGTAGGATAACTTTTTTGATAGTTGTAGGAGACTGTAGGCACAGGGGGAGGGTTAACCCCCCAAAGGAAAGTCAAGGTGCTATTACAAAAAATGAAAGAGGGGCTGGCCCAGTGGTGCAAGCGGTTAAGTGCGCGCGCTCAGCTGCAGCCGCCCAGGGTTCGCCCGTTCGGGTCCCCGGCGCGCACCGACGCACCGCTTGTGAAGCCATGCTGTGGCGGCATCCCATATAAAGTAGAGGAAGATGGGCACAGATGTTAGCTCAGGGCCAATCTTCCTCAGAAAAAAGAGGAAGATTGGCATCAGATGTTAGCTCAGGGCTGATCTCCCTCACAAAAAATACAAAAATTAAAAAAATGAAAGAGGGCCGGCCCCGTGGCTTAGTGGTTAAGCGAGCGCGCTCCGCTGCTGGCGACCCGGGTTCGGATCCCGGGCTCGCACTGACGCGCTGCTTCTCCGGCCATGCTGAGGCCGCGTCCCACATACAGCAACTAGAAGGACGTGGAACTTTGACATACAACTATCTACTGGGGCTTTGGGGGGAAAAAATAAATAAATAAAATCTTAAAAAAAAAAAAAAAAAAAAAAAAAAAAATGAAAGAAAGAAAGAGTGGATGCTGGGCAGGCATAAACAGTATTTGCCCACTACAGATGGCCACTTTAGATATATGAAAATCTCGTATGCTTGATTACTTTTTAATACATTGTTCATGTGTGATAATCAATTGGAAGAAGTTGGAGAACAATTTGAGTATTAAATTCAGCGTGTCAATCCCCGGCTGACAACTATTCACTGGCTCTCTATTCTCTCCAATAAAGTTCTAAATTCCTTCATATTCTTCTAGTCCTTCCCCATCCCTCCAGCTTCATCTCCAATTCCCTTCCTTTCCTGTACAATATGTCCCTATAATACTAAGGGATTTGCAGTTCCTTGAACACATTATCCTATTTCACATCCATGAGTCTTGACACATGTCACTCCCTCTGCTTGGAATGGCCTTCCCTATTCATTGTCTGCCTGCAGAACTCACTAACCCAATTCAAACACTTCCTCTTCTCCCTGTCATCCTGTCCACCACCACTTCTCTTCTTCATCTCAGTATCCCCACTATACACCTCGCACATGCCTCTATTTTTTCATTTATATTACTGTGTTGTAATTATTTGTTTACATGTTTGCCTCCCCTACAGACCTATCAGTTTTGGGGGGGTATATTCTGAATAAATGGTTGTTGAATGAACTAATGAACTTTCGAATCAGACACCAGTACTCACTGAGGGTCCACTCTGCTTGGAATCATATACAGCAGGTGTAGTAAGGAGTCACGCAGAATGTTTACTAACGCAGTAATTCTCTACTCTCTACTAGGGATATGCAGACCGTGAGTGGGAAAGGAAAAGCGTTCTAGGTAGGACACAAGGTTTTTATTAGAATCTTCGAATATTCATTCTTCCTAATCCCACTTGCAAGCATAACGCACCATTTTCTGCCCACTTTACTTGCTGATATTACCTTTGAAAATTTTTATTTATCTTCATTTCAGTGCTGTAGTGGTGAAGTTCAGACTCCAAAATAGTAGCATATTTTTAGTTACTAATGAAACACTTGGTTTTATATGGTGGATCATTTTGTAGCATAGCCCCTAAGAATGTGGGTGCAGGAGCCAGATTGCCTGAGTGTGGATCCTGGCTCTGGTCAGGTGACTCTGGGCAGGATATTTAACCTCTCAGTGCCTCAGATACCTAATCTACAAAAACGAGGTCCATAATAGTACCTGACACACTGGATTGTTGAGAAGATTAAATGAGTCATAGATGTAAAGCACTTAAAACATTGCTTGGCATGTAAAAAGTGCCAGATAAATGTTATCTGCCATTATTATTGCAACAAAATATGCTCCCTACCATATTACCATAATTTTTGGTCATTAAAATAATACAGGAAATGCGAAGTATAATAACAGAATGCATGTAAACATGAGTTTATTTGTTTCCATCATGGTAGGATTCAGGTTCTTTGGTGAAGACACCAGAAACAATTCAAAACCACTGCAACAGAGAATGACCCTTAAGGAACTGATAAATTAATGGGGGAAATAGGATAGACACAAACCCAAATCCACTCAGGGACACTTGAACATACTCTCAAGAGCTTAGTGACTAGAAAATAATCAAATATGAGTCCAAAGAGGTTACTTAATTTGAGGTGGCTGAGAGAGGAAAGGGACTGCCTTTTAGTTTGGGAGGAAGGCAGGAGTTAAAAAATCTTGAACTTTGTTGAAAACAATTTCATCCCAGTTAGCGTGGGGAACTAGAACTAATTAATGAATCCAGTTAATCCATGAGTCAGTATTTACATTTTAGTCAGTCTTATTTCCTGGGATCAGAGCTACAAGGTTTACTAATCAGTCATGTATCAGAGTCCCAACTCATTTACTCTGAAACTGACTTTTGTTAAAGGAATTTAAATAACTTACCTACTCACCTAAGTCTGTAAGTAAAACCAGTTGAAACCGGTTTTCCTGGTTTTCTAAGCATGCTGGTCACTTAGTAAAAATTATATAATGACATATATTATAAGCTTTTCAGGAGTTTCCAAATTGTCACTTTGTTTATATGGGAAGATGCTTGGAAATCCAAACTTATTTCTGTAGTTTTGCTTATTACAAGTTTTGCCTATTACAAGGACACTGTATTTTTTGGTAGTCATGAAAATAAGCACTGGCCCTAAAGTCCAGGGTCAAAGCCAAGTGATCTTAATGATAATCAAGCCTCAAGACTACTGAAATCACTGAAATACTTTTTCCTTCTCCCTAATCTCTTGGGGTTTAGCTTTTGATGAGATGTGCATTAATGAGTGAAATGAGATTAATGGCCACAGAAAGATAACTGTGCTATTTCGGCATGTCTGGAACTATGTGTGAGGATGCCTTGAAGGGTGAGAGAGACATGTTACCTTGGAAAATGTCAAGTCAAATGGAATTTGGAATCTAAAGTCTTCTACAGATGATGGTAAAGCAGTAATAATGAATACGCTTGCTTTCGGTTTAGCTAAAATCTCACCTTATGACCTTACCTCTACTACACAAAAGGGTCAGAAACGCCCTCAAGTTCCCCAAAATGAAACCTACACATCTACATAAAATTACAGCAATCCTTTCCTACTTTCCTTGTTCCTATCTAAGGCCATTCCTCTTCCTGTGCTCTGGATCCCACCCCAAGTGCTTTCTCTCTAATGTGTTCAATTCTTAATGCCCCTCTGTATTGGATCCTTCCCATCAGTTTTCAAACCTACTCAGTCTCTTCACCTCTAAAACATCCTCCCTCAACTCCACTTCCTCTACTCACTACCACCCTATCGCTGTCCTCCCCTCCACAGACAAACTGATAAAGAATTTGTCTACTCTCTGTCTTCCTTTTCTCACTACACACTCCTTTTTAAATTCACTTTGATCTAACTTCCATTTCTACTCCCCTG